TTCCAACCTTGTATTTTCAAGGCTTGACTGAAAAATGAAAAAAAAAAAACAAAAAAAAACCAAAACCCCAAAAAAAATTCAGGCTATAAATTTTGAAAATCGAGGAAAGAAAAATTATCTCTACATGTTGTTTTCAAAATGTGGAAGTTAGCCAATTAATGAAGGAAGGAAGAAAACCTCTGATTAAAGCCCTGACAAACGCTCAAGATCACAGAGCGATGACTAGTTTTGCCACAGTTCTCGCGTCAGAACCCAGGTAAGTTAATAGTTCTACACCTTGGTTTGCCACCTGTGAAATGACAAATAACATTTTCTTTTCAAATCCTGTTACTCTTGCTTGTATTGTTCCCCAAATTAAAAGCATTTGCCAAAAGACTTATCTTTCGCATTAACACTGGAAATTGCACTCATAGCTAACACAGAATCAGTCTGCATGAGTGAGTGTTCAAATGTGAACTCTTAGAATACTTTGCTATCCAGCCATCCTAATTTTCTATATGTCAGAAGAAAGCTTTAGTCAATACAGGAATACGAGAATGCCAAAATACAGCTGATTAGTAATCTTATAGATAAAACCAAATTTAGGGATATGAGTTAGACAAAAAAAAAACAACTAAATTCTTCTCATCATCTCCTAAAAATCCTACTATAATCATGACACTGGTCTCACTTCATTGATAACCCACAATATCATATTATCAGTAGGTATAATTAAAGCCCAATCCCACGAGGACATGTATGTAGAATCCAATGCCTGCTCCGATAAAATCAGTATTAAGTGAAATCGACTTCAGTGACTTTAGTGGAAGTGTCAAAGCCGCACAAAGTTATCAATAGAAGAAACAACAGCACAGGGTTTGTGCAGCAGGATTCCTAAACTGACAGATTCAAGTGTTTGATTTCAAATCCTAAACTTTGCAGAAGATAAAAAATACTTGCCACAGATCCCAACACTGTTACCTCTTTAGTGTCCCTAAAAGCTCTGCACAGAAATCCCTGTAAAGCACAAGTTGCTTTCTTTAGATTAAAATGTGTTGTCATTTCATGCAAATTAGTTTATTTTCTGACATACACAACCAAACATCTTCTGAGATCCCTTTATGAAAGGGACAGCCCAGCATTCTTCCTTTCTCATGTTTCAGTTTCATTAATTCTTTCAGTTCTCCACCCAAACATCATATCCAAAAGACCCAAATTTCACCACTGCCCCACTGACATACAAAAAAAAAAGCAGCCCTAAAAGTTAATGACAGAACAATTCCTGAATTCATGCATATTAAAAAATCATCTTATTAAAAATAAAATTAATTTTAAAGTGAATGTCTGAGCCCCACTGTTTTCCCAGCTTCAGATACCAATGAAAAAAAAACATAGTAAACACTTCCATGAATTTATGGATTATTACTATAAAGTAAAAACTTCATAATAATTTAATTTTCAAAACATAGGACTACCATGAACTTTTAATATCCTTTTGAAAGCGACCAGTAAGACCCACACAGGATCTGCCTCAGAAGTAAGCTTTCTGCAGCTGACACCAGTTTCTGACTGTATGGAATTATCAGAATCACGCTGCTAGAGAGCTGCACATTTTCTAGAAAGGTCAACAAATAGAACGGAATTGCTCCAGAGGGGTCACTGAAGTAGTTACAGAGATAAGCAGGCCTCATCCACACAGGATTTTCTTCAACATTTCCTTACCACTCTTTAAAAATCCTGCAGTTGCACCTAAGGTAGCATTCCTGTAACACAGCTGGCAGTCTGCATACCACAATGTCGTCTAGACCTGCTCTGAACAGTTGGATGACACAGGAGTAAAAACGCTGATGCCTGTTCTGGTGCTTAAGGAACGATAGGAGGAAGAACAGACATTGCTGAGTAAAACACAAGTTCCTTGTTCCTAGTCTCATGCCCAGGCTCGTCAGACAATTCTGTCAACCATAGAGAAAAAGTTGTGGCTGTTGTGGGGCTTAAGAAGCAGCTTCACATGAGAAAAAACAGCATTCCCAAACCCCAGTTTTCAGATGCAGCATCAAAACCTTGCTCTTTCACACAGCCCAGTGCTCCCAGAACATGCAGATAACAAATGCATCCCTGCACAAATAACATATCCCATCACTTTCTCACTTCTCCCCTACTTCCTACCCCCATCCACATAGAAGAGATGTTTTCTCAGCAATTTGGAAGAGAAATGGCAAAAAGGGAGATGCAAAACACAGAAATAAATTAAGTTTGTTCTCTGCTGTTGACAGATTTGGTCCTAGCTTAATGGGAGAAAAAAAAAAAAAACAACAAAACCTTAAGTGATAAATCCATATATACCTACTCCAAACTACACCCCACATCCCAAGGGACACAGTATAATGGTAAATAAATATAGATGCAGTTCCTACTAATGAGGCAGGGTACAGCAAGGCCAAAGAAAATGCAATCATCTCGGGAAAAAAAACTGCACAGGACTCCTCCTCTCCCATCCATGGAGGAAATCAAACGCCAGCTGCACCATCCCAGGAAGGAAGCAGAGTCTGTACCTGATGAGCCCTGCAGAAATGAGCTAGTCATATCACGGGACGCAAGCAGGCACTTCAGGGTTTTGCCAGCCCACAAATTGTCTGCAGAGCACAGTTCCTCTCTCTGATACGATGTATAATTTTACACGGCATCATTCCTGCAAATTGGAAGGGGCTATTTTCCCCACCAGTTTCTTTTTCTCCAACCCCATCAGCTGGAAGCAGGGGCACGTAGCTAGCGTCTATCAGACCTGCTCCAGCACTGCTCTTAAAAGCGTGCTCTAGCCATCAGCTTAACACTTTCCTCCCTACAAAGTTTAAATCTTCCCACCTTTTGTTCACATACATTTTTGTACTTAAAAGCCACTTATCTGTAGTCCCAACGTTACTTCAGCAGGAAAACAGAGATACACCCGATTCCACAGACAACCAGCAAACACGCTCACAATCTTCATTTCCTCTTCCTTCTTCTCTCCCCACACCCCCCCAAAAAGCTGCTTTTTTTTTTTTGTCCCTAACGCGAAGGAACGGGGGAAAAAACAACATATACACGAGTAAGGCTTTTCAGACCTATCACAAAGACAAAAATGCTCCCCGAATAAGTGCTCTGCAAATATACCAAGAGACTAAACTAGGCTCAACTAAAAAAAAAAAAACCCACCAGACCAAACAGAGGTTTAAGAACTCGGCTTGCTCTCCCTCGCATGTGTATTCTGCACCTAAAACCACTCGCCCCTTTTTTTGTTTTAACCCCGACCCCCAGCAGAACAGTCCAGCGGCATTCCCCGCCGCTTCCTCCAGCCGGTCCAGCGGTCAGACACACTGTTCTTCCGAAAAAAAAACATCCCAGGCGCGGCTGCAAATGCATTTAACCCCTTCCCCATCTCTTCCCAACAAGTACAAAATAAACAAGCGTATGACACCCCACCCAAGCTCTCCCCGCACAATTTAGGAATGACTGCCTGCGGGTCCTCCTCCTTCCGCACCCGTTCTCATGTTAAACTCTCCAACCTTCGGGTTCACGCCTTTGCCCTCCCCAAAAACCCTCTCTCAAAGCCCCAGGAGCTGCAACAGATCTCGCCCTCTTCGTCGCGCCCCAGCCTTGGAAGCTAGAGGGTTTGGGAACAGCCGGCCTCGGTTTTCCTCACACCCATAGGCACAAAGCACTTGGGCTCCCCTAGAAAAGAGCCCCCGGAGCCCTCGCACACCTCTGACAGCTCCACAGGCCCCCGGCATGGCAGAGCCCCGGTGAGGGGTCTCGATGCAGGGCGCGACCCGTACGGAGAACCGGTCTCTAGCCCCGCGGGGTCGGAGCCTCCCTCGGCCTCCGCCGGGCCGGGCCGGGGCACCTCCCAGGTCCCGGAGACAGATAGCGGGGCCCCGCCGCCCTCTGCAGCCGCGCTGGGTCTCGCAGCAGCCCAGCCCCAAACTCAGGGGCGAACAAAACCGAAACACCACAGAAATACAAAAAGGCACCCACCCAGGCTGTGGGGATTCCGCCACCAGGAGTGCGTGCCCCCCCAGCGGGGGGGGGTGGGGTGGGGGGTGTGGAAGAAACAAGAACAGATAAATAAACGGCAGGAAGAACCATGGAGGGCTCTCCTGTAAAGCCCAGAGGTGGCCCTGCCCTCCCGCAGACCCCGCGGCAGCCTCCCGGGAACACCGTCCTCCTCCCCTGCTCCGGGGCCGCCGAGGATAAGCGGAGCCCCTCAGAGCTGCGACTCCAACTCAGCCGGCGAAGCGGCTGCTGGGCTGCCCCTGCCCGCCCCCCGCCGCCCCCCGCCCAGGCTGCCCCCCTCACGCACATCCCACGTTACGAGGAAACCCGCTCTCCGCCGCGGCGCGACTCCCCGCAGGCGGCCACGGCGCCGGCTGAGGGGGGACCCCCTGCCCGCCCCCCCCTCCCCTCCTTCCTCCAGCCCACCCACCAGCCCGTCCCCTCCCCTAACACCGCCGCTCCCCACTTCCAGCAACACTCACCTCTGGGTGCCGGCGGCGCCTCCACCTCACCATGTAACGGCAGGAGTGGGGGGGGTCCCCCCGCCTGCCCCAGCGTGACGGGAGATGAACGGGAGCGCTGAGGGGCGAGGACAATGGGGGGGGAGGAAAACCCTCGGCCACGTCGCCCCCCTCGCCAGCCCTCTGAGGACCAGGGACCCCTCCCCGTGAGGCCCGGCTCCTGCCGCTCCCGGCGCCTCGCCCGCTCCCTCGGGTTTGTTTGGGTTTTTTTGGCTCAATCACACCAGACTGACTGTCTTTGTCTGTCTGACAAGCGCCATGTTGATATCAACATCCAAGCTCCCACCTGCTGCCGATGTGAGACCATGGGACTTGTAGTTCCCGCCTCCCCAGGGTGACGAGGAGACCCGCCGCGCGCGGACTACAACTCCCAGCACGCCTCGGCGTCGCGGCGCGCCGGCGGAGCGCGGGGCTCAGCGAGAGGCGGACTACAACTCCCGGCGTGCCTCGGGAATGACTTCATCCTGGGCGGGGGGCGGCGGGACTGCAAGTCCCATGATTCGGTGTAGCGCGGGCAGGAAGGGAGGGGCGGGCAGGATTGTCCTGGTAAATAGAGCCGGGGGAAGCATGAAGCTGGTGAGTGCATGAGGAGGGGATGTTGCGGGGGCTCGGCCTGCCCCCTGCGGTGGGGCTCCCCGGGTTGTCTGTGAGCTGCGGCAGCCTCTGCCCCGGCCGGCGGGAGAGGAAGCTGAGGCTCTGCAAGGGGTGGCCCAGAGGGGCTCGTGGGGGCGGGCCCAGCGCTCCGCTCCCCTCAGCAGCGCGGCACGAGGGCCGCCGCCGGGGCAGGCCCACGGAGAGTCGGCGGGCGTGGGTGAAGGCAGGGGCACAGGCCGCAGCGGCGCTTCTCCGGTCTTGTGCCGGTGGTGTAGGGGCTGCCCGGGCTTGGGGGGGTTGGGTTGGATGAACACAAGTCTTACGTGAGAGACGGCTGAAGGAACTGGGGTGTTCAGTCTGGAGAAGGAAAGGTTCAGGGGGACCTTATGGGTCTCTACAACTGCCTGACAGGAGGTTGTAGCAAGATGGGGTTGGTCTCTTCTCCCAAGGAACAAGTGATAGGACAAGAGGTAACGGCCTCAAGCTGTGCCAGGGGAGGTTTAGATTGAATATTAGGAGTAATTCCTTCACGGAAAGGGTTGTAAGGTGTTGGAACAAGTTTCCCAGGGAAGTGGTGGAGTCACCATCCCTTCAAGTGCTCAGAAACCGTGTAGATGCCCTCAGTGACATGGGTTAGTGGTGGACCTGGCAGTCCTGGGGTAGTGGTTGTATTTGATCTTAGAGGATTTTTCCAACCTAATTGATTCTGTGATTCTATGATAAACGTTTGTGAGGTTCACAAGGAAGAGGAGGAGAAATTTCGCTGCCCTTTACACAGCACAAGCCTTGCCATGGAACAGAGCAGGAGCTAGCCCACTGCATGTGTGACTTTACTGGGTTACTCCAAGAATATCAATAAATACCCGTGGTTCATAATAAAATTGTTTCCATCAGCAGTATGTTGTTAATACAGCTAGTTACTAATGAGAAAATCAGCCTGGAATAACTTTGTCAAGTGTGCACTATGCTTCTGACAAGTACTTTGGTTCTGATATAACAATCTTGTAAAGGGAAAGTTGACAGAAAATACGTTACCCATATTGCTGGTTTTTCTCTCCAGATCTCCCTTTTCAACTCCTTAAGTTCCCCAGAGACCTTTGCTTTAGCTGCTACCTTATTTTCTGGAAGCTTATTTCTGCTACTTTATTTCTAAGGAGCTGTGGCTGCCCCATCCCTGGCAGTGTTCAAGGTCAGGTTGGACAGGACTTGGAGTAACCTGGTCTAGTGGAAGGTGTCCCTGCCTATGGCAGGGGATTGGAACTGAATGAGCTTTAAGGTCCCTTTGAACTCAAACCATTCTATGATTAAGAATTTCTGTTACACCTAATGTACTACAGTTCTTTGGAGGTGACAACCAAAGCAGGTTTCAAGATAACCTGAACATAACATTTGAGTTGTATAACCTGAAGTTACACTGTTGTTAAATATATGATTGTGTCTGAGTTTTGAGACTGAGCAGTTTGTCCTGAGGAAGCTTCATAGCAGTTAACTTGGATTCTGAGTTTGTTTTGAGGCTTCCAGTAAAACAAAAACACGATCTCCAGTGTAACCATGTAAAATAAATTCAGTAGGCAGATGGCTGAAGAGCTTGATCACAGAATCACAGAATGATTTGGATTGGAATGGACCTTAAGGCTCATCTAGTTCCAACACCCTGCAACAGGCACGGACACCTTCCATTAGACCAGGTTGCTCAAAGCCCCATCCAACCTGATCATGTAATCTTACATATGCAATTAAGCCTCTGTGCGTGTATACTACCAGTGGGACAAACTGCAAAGCTAAGCACTTCCAGACACGGTTGTAGAGCCTGAGATAATGTAGGGTGGGGAAAGCAAACTGGCAAACATTTAAATGAAGACCACAGTGGAAATGCAGGGTTCTTTTAAAATCTGGAGTCTTGCACAGGGGTAGAGAGAGGAAAGAGTTTGGGGGGGGGAATGCAACCTGCCTAAAATCCGTATTATAATGTTTTTAGACCTGTATATAAATTTGGAGACTGGGGATCATACAGATTCTTGATCTTACATTTATCTGGAGATGTGCCTGTATCTCTGGGTTGTGGTGGGAGGAGTTAGATGCTATTTCATCCTCTTTATTTTTTCCATCTATTTGGGTGGAATTTGGAAGAACAAGGGAGAGGTACAGACTCCAGACCTGCTTCAGAGTCCAGTGAAAATGTCAGACTCCCACAAATTCAAATGTGCTTTGATCCAGGCAAATCTAGTTGCTAATTTCCCCTTAGATTTTAAGGTAGCATGTGATGTTAACACTGGAAGAATACACTGCAGTATTTGTTGGAATTCAAAGCACTGGCTTTAACCTGCAAAATCTTGCATGTTTCGGAGCTGCTAGTGTGAGACATCATCTGTCACATTGCCATCCATGAGATCATCAGAGACACTCCAAGCTGAGAACCTCCTGCTGTGAGAGCCTCAGCAGCTGGAATGAGCCCGCATTCTGATCTCTGTGCCCCACTCTGTCAAACTTCCATCCAGTTTACAAAGGCTGCCAAGAAGGTTGTGAGCTGAGCTGGGCATGTTGATATCTTCTGTGTGCTTTGTGACTTTGTTACTACATTTTAGTTAGGCACCTAGTGTGTTCACTGCACCAGCCTTTAGCCATAAGGGAATAAAGATGGAAGGAAGGAAATCTTAGAGCAGAAAGGATGCGCATTTTAGTCCAGTCAGGAATATTAGTGACTGGAATCTCTGGATCTGTTTTTTAAACAGTAGCAAATATGAACTGGGTAAAAATTATCACATTTATAGTACATATAGAGATGTATATAGTACAAGCATTCAGATTCTCAGATTACTAGTCTAAAATTCTAATAGAGGTACAAGCTCAGAAATGTCACCCGTGCAAATAGCTCTATAAGATATGAACTCCTTTTTTAGTTCTTTCTAGTCACTTCACTTGAATCTGGTAGAAAGAACCCATTGCCTCCCTGGAATCCATTTACCACAGCATGACAGCCACAGATATAGATTATTTTAGATGCTTTTAAAGAAGAAAAAAAGAAAGATTTTCCAGTTAGCTTGGAGATGTCAGGGTCATGATCCTCTTCATGATTTTAATAAAAGCAAGAAAGTGTTTTGCTGATAAAAGTGGTGATATTTCATTGCCTTTTTTAATTACCAATACTTCAAAAGCTACAAAAATAGTTTAGATCATATTTTTTTTCCTTTGTTTCTTTCTACTTGCTTGGATTTATAGCATAACTGTCAGAGGTCTGGTCTGGCAAGAACTTAATTTCACATGTGTATTTTACATTTACGACTAAACCAGCTGAATTCCTTACCTGTGTACTCCCCTCTTCACCAGCCTGATTTTTCACCGTTGTTTTGAACTTTGCTAACAGCAGGCAAAATGTAATGTTTAATAACCAAGGCTTTGTGAATTTAAAACAAAAGTCTTTGTGATCTTTTTAATTTAATATTGGGGCCTTAGTAGCTTTTTAATATTTAAATATAATTTAAAACAGGTTTCTGAGGAATGTATTTCATAGACTCCTTGGGAGTTGCTAATCAAGACGCTTGCAGTCCTGTGTTAACATATCGTAAGCAGAGGTAGGAAGTGAAATTATTAATCTACCTTCTTTCCCCTTCATCGAATGAAATATAGAGAGCAAGCATGACTATAAATGACTTAGAAAATGACTGAGTCTGGTTTTAGTGCAGTGCATGGCCAGATCATTGATATTTTTCATCTTAATTGATCAAAACTTTAATTTAAAAGCTAAAGTTTGACCACCTCAGCTGCCAGACGCCCAGACTTCAGAGATGCAAAAACTTTCCTTCCAGATGCAAAATCTCTTTTACTTGCAAACCCTGAAGGAATTAATCCTTCTCAAAGAAGAGAAACGCTCACCTCGAGGCGTCCACGCTCTATTCAGGCATTTACGTTTCAAACCCCGAATTTTAAAGCTGGCATTTTTATTCACTTTGCTTCTTATTCAAAACTTCAGCTGCTCCTGTGCCTTGTTAAGTGTTTGCCGCTCTCCATACAAGACGTGACTGCATCTCAATGATGCTGAAGTGCCCTGGTACATAACCTGCTCACTGGCTCATTGAGTTTGCAAAGCAGTTGGGATTTCTCAGTACACAAACCCTTCCATTCAGGTGTGGTTGTCCATTCCCTCGTGTTTCCTGTTTGCGTTTAGCAAGACAAAAAGCAGGTGAGAGCATGCCCCAGAGCTGCTTCGGTGCACACTACAGCTTCCCCTGCTGATCTGTGCCAAGCAGCCGCAGCCCCTGCTGCGCCTTGTTTGGTTGTTTAGTCAGGTTTCTTAAGGAAATAAAACTTGTATTTCTGCAGGGATTCTCTCCCTCTTTCCACCCCAAGTAGTTTTCAGATATGCTAGCCGAGTTCAGCCAGGTTTTGCCAGTAGGACCGAGTTTTGAAAAAACCAATGTTCTGGGATTTTTGTGAGAATAGGGGATTGTTAGGGAAAAAAAAGAGATTCTTCATGTGTCCTAAATTGTAAAAGGAACTATGCCATCCTCTCAACCCTTGTCTGAAGAAAATCCACCCCATAATACCGGGGGAAATCTCAATGAACACACATTGGTGTGTTTATAGGATTTATAGGAAATCAGGTTTTGTTCTGCTGTGTATGAAACTGCATGTTTAACAGTAAGGGGAAAAAAAGGCAATTTTTGGTGGGGAGGGGCGGTCACTGTTAGTTAAGGTCATGAGTAACAACATCCTGATTGTATTCTTACAGTACTGCCTGTCAGGACACCCAACCTTACCATGCAATGTACTCAAGTTCAAATCCACCACCATCATGTTGGATTGTGGACTGGATATGACGTCTACCCTCAATTTCCTCCCATTGCCATTGGTTCAGAGGTATGTTCTGCGGCCTGTACGCGCTTTGTGTTTTCTTGGATTGCAGTTGGAGTGCTCTGCGTGAAATGGTGTATTGGAAGAAGGGAGGGGATGAGTACAAATGAACAGCATCATTCGATATCATAAATAGACTTTGTTCACTTAAAAATTCTCTTTATCAAAATAACGTCCTTTGGCTCAGTAGACGGAAGACATTTTATGGATTTATTGATTGGTTTTTTTAGATAATTTATTCTAAGCTTCAGTAAAGTATTGCTGCAACTGCTCAGCACAAGTGAGGTCACATATCTGTCATCTTTCTGGCTTCTTCGTGCAAGATGAGATAAATGGATAACTGAGATGGAGTGAGTGGAGCCCAGCAAGTACTGTTTAACCACCATCTTCTCAGGCTTTTCTTCAGAGCACAGACTAATGCAAAGAAAAATAGCACTTAACAGTCTCATTAGTTGACTTGATGTCATAATTGTTCCCCTTTAAAAATTAAATAAAAGATCCGTGCAGCTGAGCATGAGAATGGAACGGCAATGAAACAAAAGTAGGATCTAGAAGAGAATCCTGAGGTCAAGGTGCTCCCTTCTATGCCCAAACTAGAAAGTAATCTTTTCCCTGGTTTTTAGGTGAAATTTAGTTATTCAGTTAGGGTGATTTATGTCTTGCATAAATGAAATAAATTGCGAAAATGAGTGGTTGGAAAGGTGGAAATGAGTAAACTCTTGGTGATGGGAAGCAACAGGAGTTTTCACAAAAGCCATTTAGTAATTTTGATCAACAAGGAAACAAGTGAGGAACGTTCTGGGTTCAGGGGAGGCTTGATTGAGAAAGGGAGAATATGACTGGGAAAGGGAGTTTCCTAAGAGACCTAATGAGGTTAAATCAGTTTGTCCAGCACTTCCTATGATTTGTTATTTTTTTGACAGGAAAAGAATAGACAATGTATGCATTGTTCCGCAAGAACATGGAGTTCAAGATCTGCTGTAGAGTAGGCAACAGATGCCTTAAGACAGATCAGTGTGGTAGTCATTTTTTGTCCCATTCCGTAATTGCTAACTACAGCGTTTAGGGGCAACAGTTGATTTGTAAGGGATCCAGAAAAGTTGGGAAATGGAGAATTGCCTTGCATTTGCTTTCTCCTGAGACAAGGAGGCACAAAAACACAAAATGAAATATAAACCTTTGTAAATAAGTAGAATCAGTTTTAAATAATGTTAAGTTTGATGGCTTTGTAACAGGAGCAATGGAAAATAACTGGGGTGCATGATTCACAGCAAAAAAAAAGGTAGAGTGCGGCTAGAGAACATACTGAGAATTCTTGTGTAAGATAAACCATTGTAGTTGGCGTAGTTTTAGGTCTTTATGACCTTAGTACAAAATAAGTGTAAGAAAACCAGGATAGAACAGCAGGACCTGGGGATGGGGAGTATCTGGGACTAGCAGATGTCCAGGATGGGCTGCAGCTAAACTAACTGATAAGTAGAAGGACAGGATGATTGCTATGTCTGTAGTGTTAATGAACCAATTAAGCTGGTGTAAACATCTACTTCGTGCTTCAGAGGCTGCCAGAAGTGATAAAGATTGTTGGAAGAAGTAAACGACCCTCAGAGACCACCACCACATTTTTGTACACATGTGGGGAAACTTTCTGGAAAAGTATGTAATTCATATGTAGCCTCATGAATACGCATGTATGCCCGGTGAATATATAAGGACGGCTTGTGTAGCAATGCGGGGACACAGGCTATGTGAAGCTATCCCCCGTGTTTCCCAGTGCCGCAATAAAGAATACCTGCTTGTCAACTTAAACTTTGTTGGCAAGTTTGTTCCTGGAGTTTTCTCCAAATCACTCCCACCTCCCAAAGAAAAAGGAAACAGGGAGGAGCAAGTAGCAAGTTCAGGTGATTGAACAAAGGCTTTAGAGGTTCTTTAGAACTGCAGGCATCAGCGCTCCCCCAGGATATGCCAGCTTTGTCTGCTAATAGCAGACCCTGGGAACGAACAGCCAAATTGCAGGTCACAACCTGAAATTCCCCAAGTACCTCCAGAATGTCTGCACTGAAATGACTCAAACTCAATAAGAAAGGATGTCAGATGTGACCCCTGATGGCCCACTGGAATCCGGAGCAAACAGTTGGATTTAAATCCAATCAATCTTGCCAGTAAGGTGATTGAGCACCCCTTACAGCAAGGATTGTCGTAAGCATATGGACTTGGGCAAGTAATTGATCTCTTCAGTACTCTACAAAACAGATGTCCTGCAGGCAGTTGTGGAAATGAATTAGAAACTTGAGGAGGAATGTGGCTGTCACTAAAAAGTCCAGATAAAGACTTGTTCATAGTTGTACCATTACCGTGATGTCTAAATACCCCTGAAATTCAAAATGTGTATTGCCAAAACGGCAGTGTGACAAAGAGCTGATTTTATCATCAGTTTCTAGGTGAGAGACTACAAGAAGGACTGACTGCCTGAGCCTGAGGCACATAGCATCACAAGAATTTGTGCAGAGATCTGTCAGATCTGAGGTTATTACCAGCTGTATGTCCTCCCGGTACCAGATGTGCTGAAATAGACCCGTGTGCAATAGCTATGCTTCTCTCTGGTGTCTTTAAACCAGAGGTCTCCAGAGTATGATCCATGAATCACTTGGGTTCTGCAAGTCTCAGTCTGTGGTCTGCAAAGTGCCCTGGTTTTTACCTCTGTGGAGCTTAAAGGTATGGTATTACAGAGGATTTTTGCTATGCAGCTAAATCCTGTGTTGTACCTGGCATGGGGCCCTCCTTGAGCAAACATTTTGAGAGACTCTGCTTTAATCTGTAAGAGGAAAGTTCTGTAGTGTTTGTGTCATTAAAGGGACTGGACATTTTTTAGAGTTCTTTGCTATTCAGAAAAAAAACCTGTGAAAAGGTATTTAGATTCCACCTTATCCTGGAAATGGTAGTCCTTGTTCTCACTAGCCCACGGAGCATGTGCAAAGTACCTGCAGTTGCCAAACACTTTATGCCCCATCACATACTTTAAAGGAGGTTTGTCAACTGGAATTTTCTCCCCTGTACCAAAGTCAAATGCAAAACGGTAAAATGAACATGTGGGAAGCTCTTAACCTTTCCTGTCTAGCCATGACACACTTGCTCACATTATTTATGGGACAGTTCTAGCTATTTTGTATTAATCAATCACTCTATTACAATGTCAAAACTATGTCAGCAGGAACTGTGTTACTTCTTGGCTCCAAGGTAAAGAGTCCTTTCTGTCCTATGTTGCTTATTCCACTTTCACCTACACACAAGACTTATCTGCTAATTTTACGTCTCCTGACAAGACTGTATACTCTCCCGTGGATGCCAGGTTTAGTACAAGTGAATAGTACTCTTTCATCGTGAATAAAGCAAACCGCATGCTAGGCTAAATTAGGGGGAGCAGGGCAAGCATATCAGGAAGAGCTTATTCTATTCTGCCGCGTGCTGGTGAAACCACAAATGGATCCAGGTTTGGATTTCCAGTCAAAGAGGGACACTAAGAATCTAAAGGAGTTCAGGTGGCCTTCAAGATGGTCATAATCTGGAGCCCATGACTATGCAGAGAGGTTGAGGGAGCTGGCTTGTTCAGTCTGGCAGAGAGGGCGTGAGGTGGGGAGCTAACAGTCACCTACAGCTGCCTGAAAGAAAGTTACGAAGGCAACAGAGCCAAACTCTACAGTGGCATTCAGTATAAGGGGCTAATGGCCACATACTGTGTCTTGGGAGGCTCAGGTAGCAATTTCACCCATCCCCAGAGAGACTCTAGAATCTCATTCTCCAGGGATTTGCAAGATACAGCTGGGCAAAGCCGTGGCTGACCTGATCCATTGCTGGCTTTGAGACATTGGACTAGAGACCTCCAGGTGTCCTTTCCAACCAATGCTTCTGTCTTCTCCCTTGTCTGTCAAAGTTATTGCACATCAGAATGGTTTATTCTTACTTTTTTCCCATTTTGTTTTTTTTTCCATAACTCTTTTAGTCCCACTACACCAATTCTACTCAGCCTCCTCAGTCTCCAAAATGCTGCTATTAAGTTGTGCTGTTGAATGTGGCAGTGGGGAGTACATTTAGCCACCTCATCTTTCCTATAATCACACTTCTTCAGATTTACTCCTTATCCTCAAAAGGGCGTTACACTTCTCTGGTACAGCTTCTCAATGACATATCCTTCTGCTCTCACCTGTTACCTTCTGTCTTCACTCCTTGAGTCTTAGGTTTCCCCCTTTTCCTTCCTTGCAACTTTCTGGAGTGCCAGTTAGGATATGTTCTTTTATATTGATGTTAGTCTGAACACAGCATTCCTCTGAGCCCTAGCATCACTTCCTATTTTCAAGTTCTTAAATTTGAAAGCCCTGATAGAATATAAGCATGCCTGTCTGTAGAGCTTGTGCACAACGCTTGCAGATTTCATTGCAAGTGAGATCTCAAGTCTCCAAATCTGAGGTTCGCACAGATCTTGGTTCCAGGGGGCTTCAATTCCTTTGTGTCCTCAACTTTTTCATTTTTTGGATTTCTGTAGATATGCTTCAACACAGTGGGTTTAGGACTAAGTTATAGGCTCATACAAAAATCAGATGTCAATGTGAGGTATGAATAAGTCACTCAGTTATGGTAGCAAGAAATGCTGTAGCAATTACTACTGTAAACTCAGGATTGCAGCATCCACCTTGAAGTTTCTTTATTAATATTTAAAACAATTTAAAAAAGGGGCCCTGCCATTGCTGGCTGATACCAGACCTGCCAGCTTAAAACATGCAGTTGACAGCAAAACCTCCTTCCCCCTTTGTCTTTCCAGCACAGGTAAATGCACTGTACAGCTGGTGAGACTTCAGCATGAAGCCATGGTTTATGTGGATATAAAATCACAATCTTTGTGTCTCTAAATGACTTAGTCCAGAGCTTCTGTCTTTCCCTGCCTTTGCTAATGGGAATATTTGTCCCAGAGCAATTTTAAGGTGGTTTTGTATTGTTTCAGGCATAGGGTTTGTTGCTGCCCTAACTTCTGTTTCTGTGCCCAGTTTCACCACAGGGCAGTGTAAGCAGTGCTGAGCCTTTTTGAAACTCTCACTGTAAATTACCAAAATCAAACTCCCTGCATGCGTCTTCTTTTTACTCTTTTTACTTGTGTCATAATCATGATTTGTAAAAGTCATTTTAGTGAACATTTAAACACAGTGAAGCTGTTTTATTGAGATTGTTAGTTCCCTGAGACAGAAATGGTGTTCTTTTCCTGTATAGCACCAAATAGAAGGTCTATGCTTAGCGACTGATAATGGTATAATTAATATTGCAATAATGCTTTTTCTCTCTTTCTGCAGCCCCAGGCTGTCCAAACTTCCTGGTTGGGTTTTGAAAGATGGAAGCACATTTCTGGACAAGGTACTGTAGTGATGGTTAGAATTTTCTTGCATACAAAAAGATCCCTGACAGGTTAGGAGCTTGCACTGCATGAACAATACTTCCATGCTGACTCATCGCAAAGGTTTCTATGTGTACCTTTATCAGCCACGATGTCCTTGTAGAGCAGAACATTTTGAAACAAAATGCTAATGCTAATAGCAACATGGAGGCTTTCAGTCTTCAGAGGTAGCCTAGCTTTATTAAAAAATCCTCTTAAAATTCAGAAATCATCAGTATGAATATTTTCTTATTTCATGGAGCTCCATAAATAATAGTGCTTTGCCTTCTTAGAGTGCCTTTTATTCAACAGTCTCACTTTTCTGACACTAAAGCTTCATAGCATGCTTATAAATGAGGTTGGATCATACCCTTTTTTAGGCAGGAGAACTGTGAGAAAGTGAATGGTTTTCCCCTCATGGGAGGTCTCCTACAGAGGAAAGGCATGTCTTTGGCCTCTGAAATCAACACGTGTTCTGCTGCTGGAGATAGCAGGGAGGATATTATTTCCAGCCCCCTAATTCTAAGACACAGGACTTACCCAGCTACGTGAGAGACACAGATTTTTTTCCTTTTCCCCTCTTTTCATTACATTAGTTTTGTAGGCAGAATTTAGCTGGGGCTTCAACCAAAACTAAGCACTGCAGTGTCCAGCTTGATCTGCCACAGGGGAACAATGAACACAAGAATATGTCAGATGTTGGTAAAATAGGCAGATACATTTCAAATGTGTGCAGCAATAGGTATCAGTAGAAAAAATACAGTTTTAATAGACCGTTCTCTGACTATGTGAACATTAAAGGAAAACAGTAATAATAGTTGCTTTTGTAGGGACTTTGAGGTGGACAAAATGGATTGATCTGATTTTTACAGACAAGGGGAAGATCATAGATTAAAGACCTGATTTTTCTTCTCATTGGAGACAAAAGAAACTGTACAGGCAGCATTTCTGTTAGTAAAATAGTAACAGCTCTGTTCAGAGCACATGCTAAGTGGCAGTCACACAGCTACAGAGGCTCAGAGAAGGAATGGAATTGCTCAGCTTGAATTCCCTGGAATTTGTTTCTCCTGAACCCCAGCCTTGGTCTCAGAGCTTTGGGCTCCCTTCTGTCCAGCAAACGGGTAGGCCGTCAGTATATTTCTGTATGTGATGTATTTACATTTCTGTGGTGCTGCTGCAGTGTGTGCTCAGGAGAAATCTTCAAACTCACTCAGCATCAGTGGAAACTGTGTTAAAAATTTAAAGGCAGCATCTCTTACCTTCACCTTGACCATTGTAACTGCTTGGAATAGTAAATTCTTTGACCCATGCTGGAAAAAGGCAAGAGAAGGAGTCAAAGGGGGGTGTTTTATCGTGTTGGGTGGACATTCCTGTTACAGCACTCTCTGGATGACAGTTATAAAACTTAAGTCCTGGAGAGGCATTGAAATTTGCTGCGATCTAGTTTTAATCATTTTGAACACCCTTGAGATGAGGTTAGGAGACTTCTGCCACTAGATGTAATTGCTCATTCGTTATTAGTTGGCAGGTGCACTGTAATTATTAAGAATTGGATTCAATCTTTAATTCTGTCAGTCTGAAGCTGGCTGAGACCACTCGCTTTGGGACAAGCAAGAGAAGCATCCACAAGAGAAGGCAGAGCAGGTGATAGGTAGCCTGTGAGGTATGTTAGGACTAAAGCTGGCAATGGTTTTGTTCCATACGTTATCCTGAAGAATGTGACTTTTCATGTGACAAAGATTTCTGATGTCAGCCTTGAAAAAGAAGGAAGAAAATAGAGGACTAAAGATCCAGTAGAGATAAGTCTAACAAAAAGTGCCACGTGGAGCTTAGATCCACTGAAGATGTTTCATCAAATGTTCTGACACAGGGGCTAAAAATCGTATTCTGCTCCTAATAAGACGGAGAAGGTTTGATGTTATTGGGAACCAAAGCTAAATTCCAAAATTGTAAGACATGCAGGGCAGTGTAAAGGTGCTGTGCACACCTTTACAAGAGCAGCAGTTCCGAGAAGAGTGGTCTTCATGACCCACTTTTCAGTTCGTACTTTGCTTCTGGTTGACACAGTTGGTTTGCATTGTTACACATTTCACAGCCAATACATCTGCAGTTAGAAGAGCAGAGAAAATGCAGCTTCACAGGACAGCACCTCCTCCATGGCCATGGCAAAACCAGCCAGAAAGAGCCATGGTATCTTTCCTTACCTTCCAGAGCGCTGTCTGTTCCTCCAAATGAGAATGTGAGCCCTTGAAGTCTGCTTACAGCAAATTTTATCTAGAAAATGGATAAACGTTATGTAGGAGTGGGCTGGAAATTACCTGAGATAAAGAAAAGGTTTTGAAAGAGCAAAATCTGCTGCACTGGAGTAACATTACATTGTAATTTTGTGTCTGTTCTGTTGGTGTGCTTTTCTTACAGGAACTAAAGGAGTGCTCTGGCCATGTGTTTGTAGACTCCGTGCCAGAGTTCTGTTTACCAGAGGTGAGTTTGTTCAAAGTCATGCTGAAAAATCTGATTCCATTCTATCACGTGGGAGAAACTTGCTGAATTATTAAATTTATCAGCACTCGGTAAATAATGCTACTAAACCCTCTGTGTTGTTAAGGTGCCTCTAGTATCTATGACGCTGGAAAAAGGGTGGAAACAGGCCTTTTCAACAATGGTTTGGGGCAAACTGGAAGGTCTACTTGAGCAGATGAATATCTCACAGAAGAATAAGACTTCACTGTCTCTTTTTATGGGCCTTCCAAAGACAATATGACTGGGCTGGACTTGAGTATGACAGGATACATGTGCTGATCTAGATAAGAGCAGTGAATGAAGACAAGGAAAACTACTTGTCTCTAACCACAGATGCATGACCTGCCTAGTGGAGCTCCCCTGGGGAGCCAACTGTGTGGTTAAGCCACTGTTTGATTCCGCTGCGCTGCACTCAGATGTGTTCTGCTGGCAGCAAGTTGAGGTTAAGAAGTTTTGCTTCCTTCTCAGCTTTTCATGACTGCATCTTTGAGAGAAGGGCTTTACCTTCATATCCACTAACATAACTGCAAGTGGCTGCTTCCCAGGCTGGTTGTTTTTTTTTTTTTCCCAAGAATACCTGGGTTAAAACGAAAAAAAAAAACAGAAACAACAAAAGAAGGAAAGAACGACTATTTAAAATGTTAAATTCACTGTGACTACCTGACTCATCAATTAATGGTGTATACAGGGGAGCTGGAGAAGTAAAAAGCTGTGCAAAGAGTGGTGGGGGTACATGATGGGGAGTAGTCTGGGAATAGTATCCTCTTTCTTCAGCTGTGTTCGAACTGTGATAACATCAATTCTTTCATTTCATGTTGGGATGTTTTCTCTGTCTTTGAAAGAGACAATTGCTTTTGGGCAGTGATTTTTTTTTGTCCTTTCTGCCTGACCTTGTTGACAGGAAGTACAAAACGCTCCTGGAGGGTTGTTGTCAGCTTTGCTGGGGTGCTGGCAATAGCATTTCTGCCTTTTCATTCCTTTCAACTCACCTCTTGCTGCTTCTGATTCTTGTTGTCTTGGTTCTTCTAAGCAAGTTGGCAGCTCTGGCACTGGTTTTGGCAAGTGGTTTCAACAGATCTGTGTGTAATTGCTTGTTCTCCCCAACTGGAATGGATATAATTGAATCCCACAAAAAAAAAAAACACAACAAAAACTTAATAATTTGAGGTTCTTGTGAGCATTCTGACTACTGTCCTGTGCAAGGGAGGAGTATAGGAAGCATCTTTATACCTAGAAATTACGGCCCAGATCTTGGGAAAGAGAGACTTTATGTTCTGGATTCCCTTCGGCCCTATACAGTCGTGGTAATCTGCTGGGGTTTAGGGTGCTTCAGCTAGGCTTTCTGGTTACTTTGTTGGGCTGGAAAATACCCACATGTGTAGCTTTAAATATTACTGATGGGGAGTTGTTGCTTCCTTCTATCAGTGTTATCACCAAATGTAACTCTCTTACAACTAGGAAATCCAAACTAGCTGCATGTCACTGTTGTAGCGCCTTTACAAATGGCCTCTCAAATGCTTGTTCCCAAAGTTCCCAGGAGGTGCCAGATCTTCTCCACAAGCCCTGGAAACAGATCTGCTAGTTGTACACAGCTCTCATCTCTAGCTTCATAGGCTCCCCTGTCTGGGGGAGGGTTCAGATGTCATGGCCAGTGGAATGCATCAGCAGAGTAAAAAATGTTGCTGGTGTTTAGCAGAATAGTCTAAGAAGGAGCTTGTGTGAAAGAGCCTCTGTCTTTTTCTTTGTCTCCTCCCATGCCACTTCTTTTGAAGAAACTTGTATGCAAAAGCAGTTAGTTTGAGAATCACAGTATCACTTCCAGGAACACCACTGCCAAAGAAAGCCAAGTTTTGAATGTAATCCAGAAGCCACAAGGTGATAAGAGGCTGTCTTAGCAGCAGAGTACACTTCCACATGTCAGAGTGCAGGGTGCAGCCCTGTCTTTGCTTGGCAACCCCCTGGTCTCTCTGACTTCACGTTCAAGAAATGTTTTAATCCTCTTCTGTTCATAGGCACTTTTAGTGGGATTGCCACGAGTCCCAGGGAAGCTTTTACTTTGCTTTGGTTTTGATACCTTTTTCATCCTCTTAGTAAGTGCTTCTAGCATGCTAAGGTGTGAGATGCTTAAGCTTGTAAAGTGGTAGTCTGTATCCTCCTGGTGGCTTGCTAAGGGCTGAGTGACTCCCCACTTCATAGAATCATATAAAGGTTTTAATTGGAAGAAACCTTAAAGCTCATCCAGTTCCATCCCCCTGCCATGGGCAGGGACACCTTCCACTAGACCAGGTTGCTCCAAGCCCTGTCCAACCTGTCCTTTTAACGCTGCCAGGGATGCGGCAGCCACAGCTTCTCTGGGCAACCTGTGCCAGCACCTCACCACCCTCACAGGGAAGAACTTCTTCCCAAGATTCATCTAAATCTCCCCCTGTCAGTTTAAAGCCATTCACCTTTGTCCTGTCCTTACAGGCCCTTCAAAAAGTTCCTCTCCAGCTTTTTTGCCAGCCCCTCTAGGCACTGGAAGTTTCTCTAAGGTCTCCCTGAAGCCTTCTCTTCTCCAGGCTGAACAAGCACAGCTCTCTCAGCCTGTCTCCAGAGCAGAGGTGCTCCAGCCCTCAGAGAGCATCTTTGTGGCCTTCTCTGGACTCCCTCCAACAGCTCCACATCCTCCTTATGCTGGTGGTCCCAGTGCTGGATGCAGGACCAGGACTGCAAAGGGGTCTCACGAGAGCAGAGTAGAGGGGCAGAATCCCCTCCCTCAGCCTGCTGGTCATGCTGCTGGTGATGCAGCCCCAGATGTGGTTGACTTTCTGGGCTGGGAGTGCACACTGCTGGGCTATTTGATTATGGTCTGGATGCAACTGAAAAGCAAGGCATGAAGAGCCACCTTGGTAGGAGCAGGCATCAGCAGACTGATACCACATAGAGAGTATTTCTGACTGACAAGCTTAGTAAGATAAAAGGGTGCCTTGTCACAAATCTGGGGATGGTGTTTCACCTACTTGCACTCAGCTTGGAGATCATGCCTCCAATATTAGCTGTGATCATGGATTGAAATCATGAATGCTTAGCTATGAGTTAAGCAGCTTGTCACCAGAGCACCATGTCAGCCCTCTGAAAAGCTGAGTGACCTACTTTCTTGCCTTTTTCATTCAAATTGCTGGACCAAGCCTTGCAATCAGATAATATGTGCTTGATGAGTGTTGAATTCCATTAGCTGCTCTATAATAACTGAGTTAGAGGTCATATATCTTGTAAATTTCTGACTTGACATCATTTGTGTTATAGCATTACCAGTAAATATTTCTAATTAAAATTCTTCTAGCAATGTTTGAAATCTTTCCTTCTCTGAACTACTGTCTGAGCTGTCACATCAAAACAAGTTGGACCCACCCATCTGTTTTGTTGCATCCTATGAATGAGCTTAATCTCGTGTTGTAGAAAACATAAATGATAAAGATGCAAAGCATTTAGTTTGGGAAAATATGAGAATTATTTTAAGCATAAGAATACATACGGTGTACATTCATCTCTCTCACTGTCCTGCGGTACAGTACTGTGTGCCACAGAAAAAAAATACAAGACACCATGCTAAATCACTAATTGTGGAAGTTTTGGTGTCTACCCAGTATTCCTAAGGAAGTGCACACAGCAGTTCTTTGATAAAAGAGCTTCTTCTAACAGCAGCCATTTCATTACATGAAAGACAGACAAACCCAGGACATGGTTTCCATTTTAGATTTTAGAAGGGAATAATTTTAGGGGGCTTTTTAAATAAATATTGTGGATTTTAAGGAAATGTTATTTCTTTGCCACAGCTGGCACATGCCCCTCCCTGTTTTTTTAAACTGATTATAAACTGGTTGTATTTGTGCAATATAAAGTTTAAAGAAAAAAACGAACAGGGAGTTTTTCTGCCATTGCTTAAGCTGCATGAAAGGGTTACATATTGCTTATCTCTTTCCTCTGTTTTCAGACTGAGCTGCTTGACCTCTCCACGGTAGATGTAATCTTGATCTCAAACTATCACTGCATGATGGCATTGCCCTATATCACAGAATACACAGGATTCACTGGAACAGTTTATGCCACTGAGCCCACTGTTCAAATTGGCAGGTAAAAAGCCCCTTAATATTCTCTTACTCCTCTTTCATCACTGCTAAGCAAAAGGTGTAAAGGACAATATGGGTAGAGGAGTGGTGTCTAATGTTCCGAAGAGGCTCTCAGGCAGTAGCTGAACACCAGCCAAGTCCTTAGTGCTGCAAATGAGTTAACTCAATGTTTTCCAACCTCTGGAACCATCTGTCTTCAACATTTACAGCAGGTGCTTTGTGTAGCCAGTAGATGTGGGATGGTAGATCTTGAGTGGACTGAGACACCTTGGGCAGCAATTACCATAAAGCCAACTTCAAACCTTCAAAAACCATGAATCAAAGATCTCTCCTGCTCCTCTCTGCTCCCTTAAACAAAAGAGGAATCACCAGTCTTTTCAACAGTAAATGACTTTGATTATTGCCTTGTTGGTTTTCAGTGTTTGAAATTTATATTATCACACTTTCCTTCACACCACAGAAGGGAATTTAAGCTGGCTTCATCTCAAATGACAGTTGAGATACATAAGCTCTGAACTCCAAAGGGGAGCTCCAAAGAGAGAAAACAAGCAGAAATATGAGACTGAAGGAGAAAATATAAGGCCTGACAATGCAGTCAAAAACTTAAGACTTGGTCATCAAATTTCATAGTCTTTTTTTTACAAGTTGTCTGTTGATTGGATAGATCAGTACCAAAGGCTGCAGTTTTGGCCCTCGATGAAGTCTCACTGGAGTTGTGCTGTGTGCATCTTTCATGCAGAGCAGCTGCCACGTTCAGTAATGTCATGGTTTAAGCTCAGCCGGCAGCACAGAACCATGCAGCTGCTCGCTCACTCCCCGCCTCCTTCCTCCCCCAGCTCCTGAAGGGATGGGGAGGAGAATCATAGAATCATAGAATAGTTAGGGTTGGAAAGGGCCTTAAGATCATCTAGTTCCAACCCCCCTACCGTGGGCAGGGACACCTTACGCTAAGTCATATCACCCAAGGCCTCTTCCAACCTGGCCTTGAACACTGCCAGGGATGGAGCATTCACAACCTCCCTGGGCAGCCCATTCCAGTGCCTCACCACCCTAACAGGAAAGAATTTCCTTCTTATATACAATCTAAACTTCCCCTGTTTAAGTTTTAACCCGTTACCCCTTGTCCTATCACTACAGTCCCTGATGAAGAGTCCCTCTCCAGCATCCCTATAGGCCCCCTTCAGATACTGGAAGGCTGCTATGAGGTCTCCACACAGCCTTCTCTTCTCCAGGCTGAACAGCCCCAACTTCCTCAGCCTGTCTTAATATGGGAGGTGCTCCAGTCCCCTGATCATCCTCGTGGCCCTCTTCTGGACTTGTTCCAACAGTTCCATGTCCCTTTTATGTTGATCATACCAGAACTGCACACAATACTCCAGGTGATGTCTCACAAGAGCAGAGTAGAGGGGCAGGATCACCTCCTTCTACCTGCTGGTCACGCTCCTTTTGATGCAGCCCAGGATACGGCTGGCTTTCTGGGCTGCGAGTGCACACTGAAGCTGGCTCATGTTCATTTTCTCATCAGCCAACACCCCCAAGTCCTTCTCCACAGGGCTGCTCTGAATCTCTTCTCTGCCCAACCTGTAGCTGTGCCTGGGATTGCTCCCACCCAGGTGCAGGACCTTGCACTTGGCATGGTTAAACTTCATGAGGTTGGCATTAGGCCACCTCACAAGCATGTCAAGGTCCCTCTGGATGGCATTCCTTCCCTCCAGCGTATCAACCGAACCACACAGCTTAGTGTCATCGGCAAACCTGCTGAGGGCGCACTCAATCCCACTGTCCATGTCAGCGACGAAGATGTTAAACAAGACCTGCCCCAACACCAATCCCTGAGGGACGCCACTCGTTACTGGTCTCCAGGTGGACATTGAGCTATTGATCACAACTCTTTGCGTGCGGCCATCCAGCCAGTTCTTTATCCACCGAGTGGTCCATCCATCAAATTGATGTCTCTCCAATTTAGAGACAAGGATGTCGTGTGGGACAGTGTCAGATGCTTTACACGAGTCCAGGTAGATGACGTCAACTGCTCTACCCCTGTCCATCAGTTCTGTAGCCCCATCATAGAAGGCCACCAGACTGGTCAGTCAGGATTTCCCCTTAGTGAAGCCATGCTGGCTGTCACCAAGCATCTTGTTTTCATGTGCCTTAGCATGCCTTCCAGGAGAATCTGCTCCAAGATTTTGCCAGGCACAGAGGTGAGACTGACTGGTCTGTAATTGCCTGGGTCATCCATTTTCCCCTTCTAGAAAATGGGGGTTGTATTTCCCTTTTTCCAGTCATCGGGAACTTCACCTGACTGCCATGATTTTTCAAATACGATGGCCAGTGGCTTCGCAACTTCATTTGCCAGCTCCTTCAGGACCCACGGGTGGATCTCATCAGGACCCACGGACTTGTGCATGTTCAGATTTTTAAGATGGTCTCGAACCAGTTCCTCTCCTACAGTGGGCACAAGGTCTTCATTCTCACAGTCCCTGCATCTGCCTTCCAAGACTTGGGTAGTTTGGTCAGAGCCTTTGCCAGTGAAGACCGAGGCAAAGAAGTCGTTCAGAACCTCAGCCTTCTCCAAATCCTGTGTAGCCAGTTCTCTGAGAGCTTCCTGAGGGGGCCTACATTCTCCCTAGTCTGTTTTTTATTTGCTATGTACTTGTAGAATCCCTTCCTGTTATCTTCAATACCTCTAGCCAAGTTTAATTCTAACTGGGCCTTAGCTTTCCTAACCTGGTCCCTAGCTTCCCGGGTAACATCCCTGTACTCTTCCCATGCCACCTGTCCTTGCTTCCACTTACTATAAGCCTCTTTTTTCCTTTGAATTTTCCTCAGGAGCTCCTTATCCATCCAAGGAGGTCTCTTGGCCCTCCTGCTGCACTTCCTTCTGGTTGGGATGCAACACACCTGAGCTTGTAGCAGGTGATCCTTGAATATCAACCAGCAGTCTTGGGCCCCTCTGCCCTCTAGGGCTGTATCCCATGGAACCTTCCTAAGCAGGTTCCTGAAGAGGCCAAAGTCTGCTCTTTTGAAGTCCAGGGCAGTGAGCTTGCTGCGCGCTCTTCTCACTGTCCTGAGGATCATTCAAAAGAATGTAACTCCCACGGGTTGAGATAAGAACAGTCCAGTAACTAAGGTATAACACAAACCACTGCTGCTACCACCAATAATAATAATGATAAGGGAAATAACAAGGGAAGAGAATACAACTGCTCACCACCCACTGACCGATACTCAGCCCGACCCTAGCAGTGATCTAACCCTTTTGAGTAGCTGTCCCCAGTTTATATACTGGGCATGATGTGCTGTGGTATGGAATACCTCTTTGGCTAATATGGGTCAGGTGTCCGGTCTCTGCTTCCTCTCGGCTTCCCCTCCTCCCTGGCAGAGCATGAGACTCAGAAAGTCCTTGGTCAGAGTAAACATTACTTAGCAGCAACTAAAAACATCGGTGTTATCAGCGTTGTTCCCAGGCTGAAAGTCAAAAACACAGCACTGCACCAGCTACTAAGGAGAAAAATGACTGCTTCTGCTGAACCCAGGATAAATAATTAGAGACCAGATTAGGCCATGGTAACTGGACCTCTCTGTTAGCACTTCAGGGCAGGAATCTTTCTCTGTTAAAGGTCCTATGCAAACTTTCCATGGCAGAGTAATTCTCCCATTATTTAAAAACAAACAGAAACTGAAGGCCCTTGTAGGTGACAGGAATTATATAAATATGAACTAATAGTAGACCTCTGGGATATAACAAGGTAACAAGCATTGTCTTGTTGGAGAATATATTGGTGTGGTTCTCCCCACCCCAAGTAATTCCAAGTGCCATTCTTCTGCAGTTATATCTGACTTCTGCCTTCAAGGGGAAACATCCATGCAATTACAAATGCTGTTCAGTTTTGGGCAGTGAAATCTGCAATGACAATTTTTAATGCCTGACATTTTTTTGTCTTGAATGCTGTATTGTGCATTTTTAGATGGGGAGAGTTCACTCTGACAATGTTCTTGACTTCTCTAAGTGATAAACAAGCATCGGCTAATGAGTTTTCTTTGTATATTTTGTCTCATTCCATATGACAAGCAGTCAGTAACAAAGAAATCATCTTGCACAGCAGAAGAGAGATTTGGGAGTTCCTCTTGTCTTTTCACTTTCCAAATAACCCATAACCCAGTGGGCCAGATCCACTGCTGTTGCAACCAGCAGATAGAAATGAACTAGCTTGAGTTTGAAACATTCAGTGAAGAAACAGGGGTAGGATGCCTCTGGGAAGAACCCCTCTTTAAAACTGCCTAATAGTGTTACAATTTTTGTAGTATTTTGGAAACATTTAGGACAAAATTCTCTCCTGTGTGAAAGGCTGAATTACTAATTTAGTTAGGATGGATGTCTTTTCAGACTTCTCATGGAAGAACTGGTGAATTCCATTGAACGTGTGCCAAAAGCTCAGTCTGCCTCCATGTGGAAGAACAAGGAGGTACAAAGGTAAGGAACAAGCCACCAGGAAAGGGTGACTGTCCCAAAACACTGACCAAAGTCTAGAATTCATTGTAATAATGAATCAGCTGCCACCATTTGAGATTTGCTACTACCACTGAGCAGATAAAAAAAAGCCTAACAGGTTTACATCTATGACTCCTTGGATCAGTTCTTTCTTTCATCAACCATCATTGGTCATTCAAACAACCATGCAAGTTTGAACCTTGGAGGAAGACTTGGTAACACAAAAGTCTTCCCTGATCTCCGCTCACATAGTTTAGCTTCATGATGGTAGACAAACCCAGCAAATTTTTGTATTAACTTGTAAGAAGTTGTTGAAATTAGCAAGCAACTTAAACCTATTTATATTGTGTTGGAGTAATTTTAATTTACAATATTTACATTAATGTTTGCTGAAATGGTAAGAAAGTCAAGCTACAGCTGTTGAAGGTCACTGGTGGCCAGCAACAGAGCAGTGCTACCTTTCCTCCCAGGATTTACAGCGTCTTTCACATATGAAGAGCAGAGGTGTGGAGGGTTATTTTTTGGCTTTTCAAAACTTAGAAGCAAATGGAAATCTGCATAAAAAAGGTTAGTTGCAAGCTCTCTGTCCGTTATTCCATCTAAACATAAAAACAAGGTGCTCAAAATTGAGGTCTTCCACATCTAGAACTTTGAAAGCCTATGTAATCTGAAAGTTATCCATACGGTTACTAATTGCAGATAATGCTTTCCTTGGAAATAAAACAGATTTAGGTGCACAACATGTTCTATGAAGGAGACAGTTTCATTTTTAGCACATTTTAAAGATAGGGACTGTTGATTAGAAAGTTATTTTTAAAAGCTGCTTTGTGCATTTTTAATTGATCTCCCAGTTTTCTACTCCCAATTCTTAACATTGCTTGATTTAAACCTTTACTAAAAATGAATTATTTCATGCACTATAAAAGTAGTCCTGATATTTTCCAGTATCACAAAGCAAAGGAATGAAAAACCCAAATTAACATATATTTAGCTATGCATTGTACTGCCCTGCTGAGCTTAGGAGCAGTCTTAACTCAGCGCTGTAACTCTTCTGAAGAAGGCAAATGAAACACCCACATAAACCAAAACCAAAGGCAGTGAAGTTGATCAGGATTTTGTGCTGGTTGATGTATACTCTGATCAGAATTTTGTTGTTTTTTTAAATTTTGGGTCAGCTAGCCTGCCCAGAACCACTCCTGAAGCTCATAGTGTTGTGAAGAGGGAGAATTAGAGCCATTATTCTCAACACACTACTGCATGTGTTTAGTATGCATGGTTTAAAGGAGGATCATATATCTTGGAGCTCATTTAATGTCACTTTACTGGTGGTCATATTTTAGAAAAAGTGCTGTTTAGCACTTTGTGTGCTGTTGACTATTCCAGGGGCGAACACAGAGAACTAATCTTTGTCTGCTAGAGAAGGCTGAAGTCTTTCTGTTGGAGCTGTATTTAAAATACTTTTCCCTGTCTCATGTTGCTTGGGAAGTACTCTAACATCAGTAATGCTTCCTTGGTACTGTTGAGTAGCTGTTGTAACAGAGTACCAGATGAGGTAGGAGAATAGTATAAGAGCCTACCACTCCGGGGTGAACAGCATCCTGTTCTACCTATGAGGACATTGTCCACATCCCACTGCCACACATCCACACTGACACGTCCTGCTGCTATAGTATGGTATGTTGGGAACCTCGGTTGGATGGCAAGTCCCTCAGCTTCCATGAAATGCACACATTGCTCAGATATGAGACAGAGGCAGAGCAATGAAATGCTGTGCTCATGGGGATAGTCAGACATAGTACTGCAGCTCTTCAGTAATGTAAGTCTGTGTATTGAAAACTCTGCCTTGAGGCTGGTATGAACCACTGCATTCTGTGAGCTGGAACAAGGGGATGAATCCAAACTTTTTCCAACTGTACCCCACCTGTGCTCTGAGTTTCCCCCTTCAGCTCCCTATGCTACTATAAAATGGAGCTCCTATCCACCACAGAGGGTATACAGGGACTTAATTAATGTTTGCAAAGTGTTTTGAGATTCATGGTGACAAGTGCCATGCAAGCATAAATGGAACTGATTATTATAGGATGAGAGCAAACATCTACTGATCCACAAATTAACACCTGGCTAATAGCACATGCAGGGTTGGACTGACATCCGTTATTTAAGAAAATGTGATCCTTGATGAATTTTTTTTAATAGTTGGCAGCTGCTAGAACAGAATACATATTACTTCTGAGTCTAACTTCAATTTTCCAGGCTGATCAATCACCATTGCTGCTTTACAGTTCAGCTGGTTCTACTCTGAATAGTTAGTATAAAACACAAAGTATTATCATCTTCATTAAATAAAGTATTGAAGCATTTTAAATGCAAATACTGTATAAATATAAAAGTTCATTATAGTGGTTTACATTTTTTTCATTATCAGATCCAGTCTGAACTAATTGCTTAGCCAGTTTTATTACCATTGGTTTTTATTTTAAATGAGCAGTCTCGTGGAAGCTCCATAGATGCTCAGCCAGGATTTCTTTCACACAGATTAGGATTCAGGAGGCTAAAAAAGAAATTTGCCCTATGAAAGATGCTTTGTCGACTACCTATTTGATGGTTTCTTCTGTCTTTCTATCAAAGTGTCTGAAATAGGCTATTTCTTGAGACAGAGGACAAGAGAGGCCAGTATTCTGATCTGATTTGGTACTACCATCCTCCTCTCCCTTCAAACAAGAACACATTATGTTATACACTATATGTTATTTGCCTTGAACAGGAGGGACTGTCTGTCTGCAGATGCGCAGTTAAGAATACCAGCCTCTGAGTTTCTTAAGCATAAATTTTATATACTAACCACAGGACCATGCTGCTTTGTGATACCTTCCTGTTTGTGGCCGAGGGCTGGCTGTCCTGGTATCTGCCCATGTACATCTGTTTGTTATGAGGTGATCCGTAATGGGATGTTGCCATAGTGTTAGTAGATTGACTCCAGATCTTAAAATATCCTCTAGTAACTTCCTGTACAAGTTTTAAAATGGCGGGTGGCAGGTTTAAATGCCAGCAGGCCCACATCTGAGGAATCAGCAGTCTTCATTATCTCTGTGTGCCATCTGACGAAGAATTCAACCACTGGAAAATTGTCCCATTGGTCTCTGTTGGGGATCAGAGTATATTTACCGTGTAGATACAGAGATAGATACCGTGTAGATAGAAAGTTACTTCAATCACCAAGGACAATTCCCCACTCTTCTCCATTACCTGTAGATATATTCTCCTCTTCCCAGAAGAGAAGCTCCTGAAAGCATCCAACACTAAATGCTTCTTATGGTAGGTTAAAGGCTTTTACAGGCAATTTGCTTCAGTGCAGTGGTGGACAACTATCCATGTTGCTTGGCTTTTTTGTTGCTTACGACTTCCCAAAAAAGATCTTGAAGACTTTGTTTGTTTCCTTAAGCGCAGTATGCTTTCAGCCTGCATGTCCTGGAATTACAGTTCTCGCACTAGACCTGTGCATTGGTTTTGGCAATAGCTGGCCTTAATCCTTTCTTCAGTGTCTTAAATTATGGAAGAGTTCACTGACCTAGTAGATATAACAATAAATTAAATTCCTTTAAACAAATTGATCAAAGAAACTTGACCAATTTCCATAAATCTTTGGAAATTGGTTTGAATTAGCCTTTGATTTAGCATTGGTTTAATATACAAAAAAAAAATCTCCTATTCTTCTTATGCATTTGGCAGCTGTGCTGCTTCCTGCCTCAGTTCATGTTGCTAAGGAAGATTTATTTCCCAGAAGTTAGCTATCGCTCTTACAGCCTGTGACATTATAGTTCACTTCTTCCCTTGATGACACTGCCCAGCTAACTTGCAATGTCTGTGAAGAGCAGAATGGATGGATTTTACTTTGGTGTAAAACATCTTAAATACTTCCGTGTAGGAGATTTCAAAGAGCTCTGCAGTGTCAGCTAGTATATCCTTGCCAGTATCATGGGAAGGTAAGTGGGGTATTGCAGTTGAAGTCAAGAAAGCTGAGGTGTAGGGGCATATGCTCTGCTAAGAGACTGGTGACAGAAATAAGAGCAGAGCCAGCCCTTGTTCATGGTCTGGTACCTGTACTTTAATCACGAGATTGTGGCTTACTTTTGTTTCCAAATTCTTAGGAATATACATATACTTAAGATATGCAGAATAGACCCTGATTCCAGATCCCAGTCATCTCTATCAATTCTGGTGGTGCATTTCATGTTGACATCTCAGCTCAGCCAGCATCTTATGTGAAAATACCAGAAGAGTTGCTGTAACACCTTCATCACAGCTATGTCTGTGATGGAAGACCTGAGTTGGAACAGCTACAAAGAGAGCTGGAGGAGAGCAGTCTTTGGGGTGAGGCAAAAATGAGCAGTTTGGTTGTGCTCCTCAACAGGCAGAAAGTTATGCACCTCACTTTGAAGCACAGGTGTATTTAAAATAAAAAGATGAAAAGAAGAGAAAAATTGAAGATGTGGAGCATGTAAATGGGTATAGAAACTGGTGGTCCATCAGAAAGTCCTGAAAATGCTCACACCCTGTTGATTTTTGCAGATTGCTGCCTGTCCCTCTGAAGGATGCAGTGGAGGTGTCTATGTGGAGGAAGTGCTACACCATGCCAGAAGTGAACGCTGCACTCAGCAAGATCCAGCTCGTGGGGTATTCTCAGAAAATTGTGAGTACCTGTAAAGCTGTTGGCAGGTCAGCAGTAACAACTTGTTTTCCAGCTTTTCTCTGGAAATGTCCTTCCTTTTCTGTTTTACCTCTAGATCCTGTGTAAGATCTGGTTGCCCTAGCCTAGGAAAGCAAGATAAGATTATATTGAATGTCCTTCAGTCTGCCTCCCAGGAAGGGTTCTTGTTAGGTGAAATCAGGGAGTATCTATTTGTTTCTTCTCTTCCCCAAGAGGACCAATTTTTAAGGCAGCGTACCTTCAGATTTGGAATTGATGGCTGGCCCACTGAGAGCTGGGAGGATGTACCAAACAAATGTATCCTCTCTGTCTGTAAGCCACATCCCCTTCTGCGTTACCATGTATCTCACTTCTGGGAATCTTTTGAGTGCTTTAGCCTCCACTTTCTTTTATACTGCAAATTAGGGATTGTAAACAAAACCTAATGGTTCAATCTGAACTTCAGAAACCCCTTTCCCAGGGTTCCCAGCTAACATTTGCTGTCTGTAAGGCTATTGACTATAACCCAATGAAGTTTCTAGAATGAACAGAACAAACAGTTCAGTAGGTTCCCTTATGGCTTGCAGGCAGCATGTGGGCCATGAGACCTGCGACTGTGGCTCAGGGCTGAAAAAATAAAAAGGTGGGTTAAAATAAGTGGTGTACCCAAAGCTTTTTCTCTGCTCCCTTTTCTTAAGCAATGGGCCACTGAAGTTTGGAGACTGCTATTTATGCGTAAGACAGTTTGAAAAAGTAACCAGTGCTGCTGTGTACTAAATTGGGTGGATTTGGGTTTGTGTGGTGCTGCTGCATTAGAGCTGCTGAAAAAGATCCCCAGCCACCACTAACATGGCTGCTGACATAAATAACAGCTGCAGCTTTGTCTAGCAGCTGGACAGGTTGAGGGTGTTTGGATTCCTTATTATCCCTGTTTCTGTTCATTTTTTACTATCCTCACAGTGTGGATGCATCTCGCCTAATTTTAGATTGATGCATCTGAGCCAATCACTCTTTTATAGTTACCGGGAAAAGAGACGTATTTTATCTCTTCCCAAAGCTAGCTCTTAAAGTAATCAGATTCTCATCAGCCAGTTAACCCAAAACTGGGTGACAGTATCAGGAATAGTTTGCTGTCCATTTTCCATGTCTCCATATCAGCAGAACCCTAAAGCACTCCGAAGGATGGAGACCCTGCCTTGTTTTGCAAGGCATCCAAATACATATTGAGATACTAGAAAAATTATTAGTATGGCATGAATCATATGCTTGTTCTATTATTCAGTAACCAGAAAGTAGATCACATTAATGAGGTATATGTGGAGGCTTATTTTCATTTCGCAGAACAAGTATAACGCATTACTGTGTACGGATAAAGCAATCCACTGTCTAATGACACCTGGAAAGGAGACAACTATCAGGTTGCTTATGCTTAGAGCTGAAACTGAAATTTGGATTGAGTTTGCAGGGTGTTGTTTCTAAATCACTAGTAAATAGCATTTAAAAAGAAATAACATTTGAAAGTGAGTGAGTTTGAGGTTAAGTTTATGTTTTCTACAGCAAAATCTGTAACCCAGATAGAGTTTATATCAGAGCAGAACTACGTGTTCTTCCTTCTCTCCTGCAGGCCGCTATCAGTAAAATTTGACTAAGGGAGTATAGCATCTTCAAAGATTCTCCTACAGTCTTCTTCAGTACAGCAAAGGCAGGCAGAGGATCAAGATGCCTGCTGATTCCTTCATTTAGAGTTATGGTTGAGTGTGAACTCAGTTATACGCTGTAGAATTCACACAGAAGAGAGATTTTATGAAGGTACTACCTGAGGAAAAGCTTTTCTTAGAACATGTGTCCTGTTAGACATGGGTAAATAAAAACAGCAAACGTGAAGCTCAGGAAACCAGCTTCATAAGGGGTTTGACTAGCAGAACCAGTTTTAAAATTCATACCACTGATGATAAAATGACTTCTTCTGACATCTCTCAGGGCTCATTCATGTTATTGTCTCTTTCTGTGTGTTTCAGGAGCTGTTTGGTGCTGTACAAGTCACCCCTCTCAGCTCAGGCTATGCTCTTGGAAGTTCCAATTGGATTATCCAGTCGCACTATGAAAAGGTTTCCTATGTTTCAGGATCTTCTCTACTTACAACACACCCTCAGGTATAGTCCCTGACTTTTGTTAGTCTTCTATAGTGGAAAGTATCTTTGCTCAAGAATGAAAAATAGCAGGGCTTATTCCAGCTGGAATCAGGTGTGGTATAGAAGCTGTACTGAGATAACTGGTAGCAACTGACTAGACTTAACAGGCACTGAGAAGACATACTACGCTGATAAATGGACAGGTATCAATAGTTACTAGGGAAAGATAACTAAAATTCTTTGCTATGGATGATTTGATGTTAACTTACTCACAAGATATGAAACTCTCCTTCACCTTAAAATAGGAAATTTTCAACAGTTAAACAGTAGAGCATTAGTGCCTTTTTTTACAATCCATATTTCACTGAAGAGCCTTTACAGACAGTTCACAGACTGCTTCTATATCACTTCTGAAACATCCTTCCTTGGGAGAAATGATAGCTAACTGGCTGCCAACTTTTCCACCCTGCTCTGCTAAGGGCAAAGTCTTTATAGTGCTGTAGATGTAATTTCCAGTAAATTAATTCTCTCTAGATCCATAAATTCTTAGTGCAAAGAATGGCTTGAAGTTTGCAGTACTGTGTGCTTCAGAAGTTGTCAAAATAGTTAAAAGCAATATTAGCAGGAGGTATTTAAAAATAATTTAGAAAATGTGTCAGGTTCATGATCAGTAAGTAATTTCCCCCAGGGTGAGTATCTCCTAAAGAGCTTTGCTTCTGAGCATCCTTCATTTAAAAGCTTGATCTCAGGAGCTGAACAACTGCAATAGATAAACCATCCTTAATAGTATGGCTGTATGCAGCCATATGCATGCAGCATATCAGAGACTTTAAATCCCTTTTTCTCATTGGCCTCATAGTGGCCTTATGCTTTTTCGTCACTTCTAGCGAAGGAGCTGCAGCAATGTTTGGCAATATATGAATGGAATATTTGTCTGAGGAGAAACTTTGCACTGTAAGAAGTAATTTGGTAACTGAGAGTATTTTTCCCTCACTGACATTCTAACACTGACTTCTGGAGAAGAGAAGGCTCCAGGAAGACATATGGGCAGCTTCCAGTGCCTAAAGGAGCCGACAAGAAAGCTGGAGAGGAGGTTTTTGAAGGGCATGTAGTGACAGGGCAAGGGGGAATGGCTTTAAACTGACAGAGGGGAGATTTAGATGAGATCTTGGGAAGAAGTTCTTCCCTGTGAAGGTGATGAGGCCCTGGCACAGGTTGCCCAGAGAAGCTGTGGCTGCCCCATCCCTGGCAGCATTCAAGGCCATGATGGGCGGGGCTTGGAGCAACCTGGTCTAGTGGAAGGTGTCCCTGCCCATGGCAGGGAGTTAGAACTAGATGGTGTTTCAGGTCCTTCCAACCCAGGCCATTCCATGATTCTGTAATTCTGTGACATGAAATGATGGTTCAGTTTATCAGGTTAGACTGGCCAAACTTCATCATTTTGCAAAGGTGAACATTTCTCTGGAAATTTCTGGTAAAATCCCTGTTTTTAAGGAAACTGTCTCCCCATGGCAGGAAATGGTCTGTGAATGAACTGCCTTGTTACAGCCCATGAGCAGCAGATCTGCACTCACTTACTGCAACCTGCAGAAGTAGTAGCAGTTAGACAGAGCAGTTTCAGCTTTAAAAAGTGCAGGGAAAAGTATTGTGAGCCTGCCTGAAACCCTAGGGACCTACTCTGTTGGCTAACAAGAGGTGAAAACTTGACTGTTCACTCTGCTGATAGTGTTGCTTGTCCCACACACTCTCAAAGAGTTTCCTTATTAAGCATACAGTCCATTGCACTTTTCATCATTTTACATTAATGCATAGTTTGAAGGAATAGCTTACTGGATATTTAAAATTACGTCTGATTTGTGCTTTGCTTGCAATTTACCTGTCATGGTTTAAGCCCAGCCAGCAACCCAGAACCACGCAGCTGCTTGCTCACTCCCCACCTCTCTTCCTCCCACCACTCCCAGAGGGATGGGGAGGAGAGTCAAAAGAATGTAACTCCCATGGGTTGAGATACAAGCAGTCCAGTAACTAAGGTATAACACAAACCACTGCTGCTACCACCAATGATAATAATGATAATGAAAATAACAAGGTGAGAGAATACAACTGCTCACCATCTGCCGACTGATACCCAGCCCAACCTGAGCAGCGATCTAGCCTTTCTGGGTAACTGCCCTCAGTTTATATACTGGGCATGACATGCTGTGGTATGGAATACCTCTTTGGCTGGTTTGGGTCAGGTGTCCAGTCTCTGCTTCCTGTCGGCTTCCCCTCCTCCCTGGCAGAGCATGAGACTAAGAAAGTCCTTGGTCAGAGTAAACATTACTGAGCAACAACTAAAAACATCGGTGTTACCAGCGTTGTTCCCAGGCTGAAAGTCAAAAACACAGCACTGCACCAGCTACTAAGAAGGAGAAAAATGACTGCTACTGCTGAACCCAGGACAATATCCACCCCTTATTCCATACCATTCATGTCATGCTCAGATCCCACATTCTTCAATATACCATCACTCTTGTCTCACATATATATATATGTATACACATACACACACACACACAGATATATTGCTTAGTGCATGGACCGATCCCTATAAAGCTGCTGAGTCCATCCGGTCCATGATGTCAGGCTCCATCTCTTGTAACAGTCTTTTAGAGCGGGACAGGCTGTGTGCAGTGTTGGATTATTGCCTGCTGATGACACCGCGGAACTCATCTGGTCACTGCTGAGCTGGTCTAGTTTCTTCAAGGTTCATTCTTTGTTGGAATGATGGTTGGAGGGAAGTCAGGGCCAGTTGCTGGTGAACTGAAGGCATCTAATTGGTGGGCTATAAAAGTGCTACATAGCAGGCATACAGTTGAGCTCATTGTCTCAAATCCCCTTGAGGTACACATCAGACTTCCCCGTCTTCCTGCGTTACCCACCAGGTACATCCGGGTCCCTGAGCAAAAGTAATCCCAAGAGTGGGTTTGCCTTTACCTGAAGCAGGAATAACCCAGACTGTCTTCCCTAGCAAATTCTTTATGTGCACCACAGGAACTTTGTTCCCTTCTACAGAATGTAAAGGTTCTGACTGGGCTGGGCCAGCCCTGTTGGCAGATCCTCTGGTGTTGACCAACCAGGTGGCTTTTGGTAAATGTGTATCCCAATGCTTGAAATTCCCATCACCCATTGCTCTCAGTGTGGTTTTTAACAGCCCATTGTACCATTCAGTTTTCCCAGAGGCTGGTGTGTGGTAGGGGATGTGATATACCCACTCAATGCCATGCTCTTTGGCCCTAATGTCTATAAGGTTGTTCCTGAAATGAGTCTCACTGTCTGACGCAGTTCTCTCTGGAGTGCCTTGTTGCCACGAAATCTGTTTCTCAAGGCCCAGGATAGTGTTCCAGGCAGTGGTACAGGGCACAGCATATGTTTCCAGCCAGCCGGTGGTTGCTTCCACCATGGTAAGCACATGGCACTTACCTTGGCGGGTTGGTGGGAGTGTGATATAGTCAGTCTGCCAGGCCTCCCCGTATTTGTACTTCAGCCATCATCCTCCATACCAAAGAGGCTTTAACTGCTTGGCTTGCTTAATTGCAGCACATGTTTCACAGTTGCAAATAACCTGGGCAATAGTGTCCATTGTTAAGTCCACCCCTCGATTACAAGCCTGCCTGTATGTTGCATCTCTGCCCTGATGGCCTGAAGTGTCATGGGCCCACCAGGCCAAAAATAATTCACCCTTATGTTGCCAATCTAAGTGCATCTGAGCCACTTCAGTCTTAGCAGCTTTATCCACTTGTTGGTTGTTCTGGTGTTCCTCAGTGGCCCGACTCTTGGGTACATGGGCATCTACTTGGTGTACCTTCACCACCAGGTTCTACACCCAGGCAGCAATATCTTGCCACAGTGCAGCAGCCCAGATGGGTTTACCTCTGCATTGCCAGTTGCTCTGCTTCCACTGCTGCAACCACGCCCACAGGGCATTTGCCACCATCTATGAGTCAGTATAGAGATAAAGTACTGTCCACTTTTCTTGTTCAGCAATGTCCAAGGCCAGCTGGATGGCTTACAGCTTGGCAAACTGTCGTGGTTTAAACCCAGTCAGGTAATTCGTTCGCTCACTTCCCCCCCTTTCTTGCCCTCCCCCTGCTCTCGGAGGGACGGAGAGGAGAATCGAAAAGAATGCAACTCCCACGGGTTGAGATAAGAACAGTTTAGTAACTAAGGTATAACACAAATCACTACTGCTACCACCAATGATAATAATGATAAAGGAAATAACAAGGGAAGAGAATACATCATCTCACCACCAGCCGACCGATAACTCGTCCCCCAGGCCCAGCCAAGCTCCGACCGATACCTCCTCCAACCCTGCCGTCTCCCAGCCCTTCCGGCTCACTCCCCGTTACATCCTGGGCATGACGTGCTGTGGTATGGAATACCTCTTTGGTCAGTTTGGGTCAGGTGTCCTGTCTCTGCTTCCTCCTGGCTTCCCCTCCTCCCTGGCAGAGCATGAGGCTCACAAAGTCCTTGGCCAAACCAAAACATCGCTTGTTATCAGCTCTGTTCCCGAGCTGAAAGTCAAAACATTGCACTGCACCAGCTACCAAGAAGGGGAAAAATGACTGCTACTGCTGAACCCAGGACATTATCCACCCCTTATTCCATACCATTCACGTCATGCTCAGATCCCACATTTTCCATATACCATCACTCTTATCTTAGTGCATGGACCAGTCCCTATAAAGCTGCTGAGTCCATCTGGTCCATGATGTCAGGCTCCATCTCTTGTAACAGTCTTCCAGAGCAGGAGAGACTGTGTGCAGTGTTCACACTCGTGAATAACTTAGGCAATAGTGTCCATTGCTAGGTCCACCCCTTGATCATGAGTCCATCTCTGTGTTGCATCTCTGCTCTGATGGCCTGAAGTGCCATGGGCCCACCAGGCTCAAAATAATTCACTGTCCCCTTAAGCAGTTTCTGCAGCTTGTTGCTGGGGACTCCATACAGCTGCCTTCCATCTCCAATGCTTCCAAAGC